AACGAAACACACAGCGCCTTCATGACATGGCGGCGGCAACAACAAAACTACAGCGAGAATAAAAGTTATGCCTTCTTTCTTTGCGTGAACATTTGGGCGGCGTTATGCAAATCTTCCCACATCATGATTTAGACATGTGGGGGCGTGTTACAACGAGCCGTTTTAGGTAAGTGTTGCTGACTCTTAACTTTTATAAATATATCTCTTTGGATTTGAGACTTTAGTCTTTGCAACTTTACAGATCTTCTTTATGCACCAAGAGCTTGTAACACTCCAAAGAGAAAGGACAAATTGAAATCGCATCATATGACCCCTTTAACTTTTAATCAGAACGCAGAACAGCTGTATCAAAGGCACACCAGCCTAACTAACTTACTCGTCTCTCCAGCATTGATTCAGCATTTGGGGGATCCAGTGGGGGCGGCAGTCATATTTCAGGGTGACCGTGTCACTCTTTATCACAACCCTGCTAAAAGTGCCAGTACGTGCGCTCATTGGCGCCCCTTCAGCTGGTGGCGCCCTAGGCGACCGCCTAGCTCGCCTATGCCTAGAAACGGCCCTGGTCGCTTGGTATGGTATTAGTGTTCTGTTTGTTTTACAGAGATGATTATTTACTGTAGAACTGATATGTGTTTTTGAGACACTCACAACTGTCTGTGTTTATCTGTCTTGGGTTCAGGTCTGTCTTCAGCTGCTGTAGCAGGAATAAGTGCTGGTGTTGTTGGTGTTGTTGTGCTGGCTGCTGTGGCTGTAGCTGCTGGTGTGATTTACCATCGGCGCAGGAGCTGCCAAAAGAATAAATAAAGAAATATTTAAAGAAATATAAAACAACAAAAATAAATAAATGCATAAAGAAATTTACAAAGAAATTTAATAAATACGTAAATAAAAAATAATACATTTGTATTTTTATTTCCTTATATATGTATCATTGCATTTGTCCACACTTACTTTTTCATTATTTCTACTTGTTTATTTCCACATGTACTTATTTTTATTTTGTACTTATGTCAACATTTATTTATTTCCACATTTATTTCTACATTTATATTGTTTTATTTACATATTTCTACATCTACACCGTAGAGATGCACAGATTAACTGTTAATATGCTGTTCAAAAACATGAACCAATGATTTTCTTTGACTTAGATATCTGCATGTGACCCTCACCCAAAGGTCATAAAACAAAATGCATTGATTTTGAATTTATATGAAGTGTACAAAACAGTAACTATTTGCTCAAAAGTTGGAGAATTCCTGTTTATTTGTGTGCGTCTTGCTCAAACAAGCTCAGATTTAGTCATTGACAGACCTGCTGCTACATGAGTTTCGTCAACAATAAACACAAGCTCTTATCAGTCACATCTGGTTCAGTTACATTAACTGTGATTAATACACTGTGATGGTTTCACACCCTTCCTGTGTCAAATGTGTTATCAGATCTGATCTATTGAAGTTGCGGTTTCTGTTCATGTTCAGCCAAATAACAAAAATCCCAACTGGACTTTTTATCCCGGACAAGAGTGTGTATGCTCACCCTATATACTGTACATACAGTTAAAATGATATTAAATAGCTTAAACCATGATTTTGGCCATATTGCTCACTTCTAAGCCATTCATTCATTGATTTGCACTACTCAAAGGCCTCAAAGCTTCTTCCTTGCTAAAACCAGAGCTCGGAGCTTGATTGCTCCATCCTCATTACCATATGGACAAAGAAATGTAGAAAAAAAAATGTCTTTGTAGATTAATTTTTGCATTTATTTTTGTTATTTTACATTTATTTATTTAGTATTCCTTATTACACATCAATTAGTGTTTTTTTTTGTCTTTTTTTTTCAAAGCAGACATGGAGAGAAACAACCATGAGCTTCTGTAGTAAGTCTATGAGGTGAGATACTTTACTGCTGTAGTATGTCTTTGTAGAAAACAAATTTTACTGACAATTTCACTGACTGGCTCATCACTTTCACCTCAGAGCCAGCTCCCATTCGTGACCTCACCCCTGAACATGTCCCTTCCCTGCACACTACACACTACCTCTTGGACCACCCATTCCCACCCAATGTCCTGTCCACCCCGTTGAGACCATCACTGCTGGCTCCATTACACTCTCAAGACTTACCTGTTTCGCTGACGCCTCACAGCTCCTTGGCTCCATCCCTGCCTATGACTTCTTCCAGTTCTTCAGCTCCACCTCTTGACGCTGTGAAGGGTATCCCCTGGCTTTACCTCAGGCCTCCAGGCCCATTATTTCACCTCTGCCCTTTAGGCCTCTGCTTTGGCTCAACTCTCCCTCAGCTTCACCATGGTCCGCCATCAATAAAGGGGTCATGAACTGCCTTTATTAATTATTTTGTACGGTTCTCTGAGGTCCAATTCTAATGCAATCAAGATTTTTACATCAAAAACATCATAATTTAGAAGTAATAGGCTATTTTATGTCCTGTTTTTAACCCCCCTCATCAGAACACTCTGTTTGAATAGGTGCAGTGGATTGTAAATTCGGAAGTAAACGCCCACTGCTATGACTGGCTAACAGTTGTGTATGTTTGACAGCGTACATTCCTCATAGATGGACGCTGCTGTGATTTAGATTAAAACGCATAAACACTTAGTACATTTTAAACGATCTGTAATAACAGACAAAGCAATCGTGACAGCGTAATAAAAACAGTTACACTTGTGTGGTGCGACATCAGGTCCAATTTAGTCAGCACTGCGTCGTCTTTTAGTTTCAATCTTTCTGAAAATCCCACGTTGAATTGTGGCTTGTTTGTAAACGAATCCACGGTAAAATGAAGTGAACAAAGGACCAAGTTCTTAGTGACGCGATCATTAAAAATAAAGTTCATCCACTCTTTCCTAACGTTAGGATCAGAAGGAAGGCAATGCAAAGACTGTTTTTACCACAGCTTGGCACTGTACAGCTTCTTGTTATCTTCGGAGCATCTTTATGGTTTGGTTTCTATGTAGACCTGTGATTGCCTCTCTCGTTATTTACACTATGTGTGTGAATCAGTGGGCGGGGCTAAACAGACAGTGATGTAGAAGCAGGCCTTGGCCATCGTTTGTGGAGGTGGTGCTAATCTACACTATTACATCATAGAGTCCTACATTCCACAAGCTGTCGTTTTATCAGACTGGCTTCAATATAAGCTGTTTTTAGACTAACAAGAACGTTGTGAGTTCTGAAACTTACAGGATGTTTTTACAGTGACCCCGTATATGTCAAAAGATCAAGGGAATTTTGATTTGTCAGTTCATGACACTTGTAAGGCTCCACCAGGCTCCTTCGTCCCTTGGGCTCCACCCCTTTTGGCTTCATTGTTCTCTTCCTTCCCTCCAGTTCTGCGTCAGTCCTCATTCTCTCTGGTGTCACCCTGTTCTGTTCAGACCCTTTTCTTCGCCTCTATCCCTGAAGCCGGCAGCATTGCCTAGGACTACCATGCATAAGATGCCACGCTGGGCCATTGCCAAAGCCCCCTCTCTCTACCTTTGTATAGTCTGATACGACACAATGTCAGGGATTATGTTATGTTTTATTCAATTTTAGTTGATGTTCCTATGTTTGCATTCAGTTTTCTATAGTCACTAAAGTCTGGAATAAACTACATGACATTTGCTCAGATTTTTGCCTCAGTCTACAGTCTGGAGAAGCTGCGCTGCCAGCCTGTAGATTTGATTTGACAGATTTCATAGAAAATTGGGTCATGTATGATGGTCACAGACTCCAATTTTTTTATCCTTATATGAATCCGTCCAGTTGGAGGAGATCAGACATGTGTGATATTTTAAGCCGATTTTAGAACGCATATTGTTTTCATTTGTCAAGCGTTTTCTAGCAACAAGGCACACGTTTCTGTGTGAGTTTGATGTGATCAGAACAACATTAAAGTCTGATAGTGTATGATCCATAGTTGTTTAGTGCATGATTCCCAGTTTTTATTCTATGGGGAAAAACAGTGTAATTGACAAAGTATAAAATGAATGCCAATACAGATTCAAATGAAATACTGAAGAATATTCACCTGATGGCCACAACTGTACTGGAAACCTTCGATACAGTTCAGAGGAAAGCACTGGTAGGTGCACTCACATATTTTTATCTTAGCAGATTCAAACTATGGAAACTAAGAAATGTCACAATATTTATGGAGTTCTGTTCTGTTTTCAACTTTAACAGTTCTTGTAAGATCTGATGTCATTGACCAGAAGAACAACAGCAGCCGCAGCAGCCACGCCCATCAGAGCAGTGATGACCAATCGGATCACAGCTTCAACAGTATCACAACACTGGACACGGACTTCTGGGGTGTAAAAAAAGAGCAATGATAGTACTGTCATTTCTGGCTTTATTCTCTGTCACAATCGCAAAATTGTATTTAAAAAAACACTAATATTAACATGTTTTTCTGTGGTGTTTGTGATGGTCAGAGATCCGGTTTGATGATCCACCTTCAGTCTGTCTCTGAATCTCCCATCAGCATCATCATATATAGTAACACAGTCGGCCATTACATTGATTTTAACTATTAAAGTGTTTTTAGTTCCAAACCTCCACAGAATCAGATGATCATCACATTATTTCAGTAACATTAATGTTTAGAGTGACTGAATCTCCCTCCGTCACCGACACTGATGTCACTTCATCTGTATCACCAAACACACCTAACAAAACAGATTCACAAATTTAGGGTGTGTGCTGGGATCTCACAAAGAGCTTAAAAAATGTGGAGTCAGAACAGCGGCAGGAATTCTTCCGTTGCACACAAATGAAGATCAAAGGTCACACTATTTTTGGTGAATTTGGGCATTTTGGCCTAGTTTTTAATACAGTTCACCAAAAAATCACACTATTAACAGTAATCAATGTAAACAAGCAGTTTAAAACTATATTGTTATAACAAAATTAGGACTTTACAAAAACAATATTTTAAAATAAAAAAGCAAGAGCAAGAAATTATGTCTTAAAATGATTATGATTATAACTTACCAACCAGATGCCACAAGCAGAACAAAACAAACATATGAACCATTTTCAGATTACAGCACTTTAAATATGTGAACACTTCTGTGACAGACAGCTTGTGAACTATAGGACAGTGTTAAACTGCGATATAGTGTTGCTCGTGATTCCTCAACCAATAATATTTGACCACCACCCATCAATTGCACATGCTCTTCTTGCATGCATTGGTTGTAATTCTCCCATCTTATTCTCACACTGTTCGTAGTAGCAGACCCGATGTTGCATATCACTATCACTATTTTATTTTTTTTGCAGAATGCAGACACTGTTTGTCCAGCAAACAGATCAAACCACAACTCTGTAAAGATGTCAGTAAGAGTTTCACTTTGACTCACAAACTGAGCTGCACAAGCATCAGATGCATTCCAGTGAATAACATTCATGTTTGGTCTGTGGTTCTTCTGTGCTTTGTTATATTATAAATTTTTGTATAACTAAAGGTTCATTCAAATGCTCTGAATTTGCTTTGAAATGTGCTGCTCATTAATTTACCAACATTTTAAATCCACAGGCAGCTTTGTCACCCATGGAACACACTTGCCTTGCTTCCTTTCCTGTTGACTTAGCTCCTTCTTCCAAGAATGCCAGCAAAGGAGAATTGAGGAATCAAGCGAATCGATTTTTGTAAATCAGAATATCATTGATCACTCAAGTGTCACTTCAGTAGTCCATTCGATGTCAAATGGCATGTCAATCTATTTTAACGATGTCCTGACTACCTTTCTGGGTCTTTAACGTGTCTGTTGTGTTGTTGTCTATGCAGGGTCAGAAAGCTCTCGGATTTCATCAAAAATAACTTAATTTGTGTTCCGAACATGAACAGAGGTCTTACGGGTTTGGAACGACATGAGGGTGAGTAATCAATGACAGAATTCTCATTTTTTGGGAACTATCCCTTTACCGATACTTGCCCGTTTTCCTCTACAATATTAAAAAATGTTTAAAACGTTTAAAAATGAATGTTTCTAATTAGTAACTAGATAAGAACGTATGGTGTGTGCATGTGTGTAGTTCACAATACAGACCAAAACAATTCACCCTGTGCAACCCTTCTAGACATGCCCCTGCGCAGTCATTCTGAAAATGAACTGAATATATTAATAATAATAATAATAATAATAATAATAATAATAATAAATGTTGCTTGTGTGAATGTGGGTGAAGATGCATTTATACCTATGCATTAGACACACTCCAAAAACATTACATTGCATTCAAGGTGCACATTTTCAGTTCAAGCATTTCCTACATGAATGCATTCACTATATGTTAGATTAACTTTTAGGTAGACGATCTGAAGTCGTTATGCTATCGATCATCAATTGGAAACTGGTGCACTGTGGTGTGTAGCACCAGGAGAATTAATAAAATATATGAACACTATATAAAGAATGTACTGTAAAATATAAAGTATGTACTGTAAATGCAGCATGCAGCTTCAGTAAGAAAGACAAAGCATGTTCACAACAGATGTGGAAACAAGCCTGAATGTGTCAAACACACCCAAACATGTAGTGAAACCACATTCTGTTTAAACAGACCAATAGAAAACCACAGCTCATGCTTTTGTTTTTGTTTTTCTAGCACAGAGAATGAACATGATTCAGTGAATGCGCAGTGACGACCAATCGGATCACAGCTTCATGGATGTGGACTTCTGGATGAATAAATAATAACATATCCTGATATTCCACCTCCAGAGGTAACAAAAAAAGTTGAGTTCAACTTTGTCCTTTTCCCGAGAAATAAAGCAGTTCCTGCTGACGAAAACATGTGATATTTTACTGACATACATGTTTTGATTTACTAAAAGCATGATTATTTAACCAGTTAAAGGTGGGGTAAGCGATTTTTCAAAAACGCTTTAGAAAACTGATTCGGGCCGACTAGCAAAACAAACTTGTAGCCAATCAGCAGTAAGGGGCGTGTCTACTCATGATGTAGAGGAGAGAGCTGTTCAGAGCACACACAGGACGGACATTAGCGAGCCGAGCAACAGAAAAACAAAAGAGGAAAAGGTCTGCGGAACAAAAGAAGGCTTAAGGCAAGAAGTAAGACCCGTGTAGATATTGGATCAGCTTTCCAGCGCTGGAGAGAACTCAAGGAGCAGAAGGCCTGCGATCGGACGCCGAGGTTGCTTTGTTTCTTCTCGATAGGTGAGTAACACCATGTCTGCGCCGCAACAGCTAAAGTCTGTCTAGTACACTGGACGTGACAAAGCAATCGTTGAAAATCATTTGAAATTTGTGTCAATTCGTCATAAATAGAATGCGCCGCATCCAGTGTAAACCATAAATATGTATATATATATATGGTGTAGACAGCATCACTGATTATAATGATTTCTATAGTATTTTGTCGCGTCCAGTGTAGACACGGTGTAACATTGGTTTTGCTTTGTTTCACAGAACTAATCGTTGCCTGGGCTGTGTGGGGCGCAGCTATCAAAATAGGGGCGAGAGCCTTTTGGGGTAGGGGCATGTTTGTTTTGGTGATTTCAAATGTCAACATTGGCTACCAGAAATCACTTACCCCACCTTTAATTTTTGATGTTTTGTATTTTCTTTTGTCTTTGGGCATGTTGAAACGTGCAGAACGATTTTGAGTAAATCCATTGTGAGAATTTATCCATAGGCCTACCTAAGAAATTACAAATAAAGTCGTTTTGCTCGTTATTCATGTAAGAGGAGCCCATTTTAACTACAAAAAAACCCGGAAGCTTTTATGTTTATTATTGGCCCTTTGACGCTTATCAGGTGTGCAGAAAAATGGCATTCAAAGTAAAAAAAAACGCTACTTTGACAAAATGTGCAGTTACTGCACTTTGCTTTTGGGTGGCAGCAGGCTACTACTGAAAAATATATCGTTTGTTAGCAGTGTTGTTAGCAGTTAATTACCCCCCAGAATGAAAATAAGTATATCACAACCAAACATCTGCATGATATCATACATTTGACAAAACTGAATAATACATTGCATTTATACTTAAAATGACTCTTGGACATTGACAGACAAAAACAAGTTATGATCTTACGAATAGTCGTAGCTTCTTAGAAATAATTGCCTGATTTTCTTCTTCTTCTTCTTCTTTTTAATTTTAAAACATTTTTTTTTACAAAATGTAACTGTAAGCTCTTTATATTTAGAGTGTATCAATGTATACCAAAACTCAACAACTTGATTGCTTCATCGTCTCAAAATATAAATGATATTATCTCCTGGCTCAAATCTGAAAAATATGACTGAGGCATGAAGACATTAAGATAATATTAATAATAATATTGTGATTTTCTGTTAAGCTGCTTTGAAGCAATGTGTATTGTTAAAATTTTTTTTTTTTTTTAAACTGTATAATTAAATCTGACTTGACTCAAATTTGCATATTTCATCACACAACACTGTTTTATCTGAGTGAAATGTTTATCTATTAGATTCAGTATTTCACATTTAAGTCTGTTTAGTTAAAGCTAAATTCAGTCTGAAAGTTTCATATTAGCAGAAATGGAAAAAAAGTCCTTCAACCACACGCTAATGACGCCTTAGCAGTGTCTGTGTCAAATGTCGACCACAAACATCTAGCAAGAAGTTCACATGGAACCTATTTGTCCACCAGCAGATCTGCACAGATGTAAATAAATTAGCCTCTATTTATGGAATGAGGATGCAAAATGTTTCTTGTTGTTTTGGGGATTTGTTTAAAAGCAAAACATTCTTTAAGAGTATATATATATATATATATATATAATCATAATTGCTATTGAAAGTATTTGAACTAATTTGGCCTCATTGATCTGAGTTTATGCGCCTCAGTTTTTGGGTGAAAAAAAGTGTTATTTTTGGATAATTTTGGCAATGTTCACTTAAAACCTGAGGTCCATAAGCTCAGCTCAATAAGGCCTATGATCAATCATTTCCAAAAAGAAACGTAAAACCTGTGATAATTGAAAACAAAAAAACAAAAAAACAAAGTTGATAAAAAAGATTGAATCCAATATTTGGTAATAATATAGCAAAACTAGAAATTTATAACAAAGTTTTTTTTGTAGGCTGGTCATTTTTTTTAGACTGGGGAAGTAGAAAATGTTTGGGGAAAAAATACCCAAAAATTGTCCAATGTTTGGGAAAGTTGTTATATCCTGTGTGAGCAAAGTCAGTATGTTTTAGTCCAATGTGAGAACTTGAATTAGCATTTTCATGAAAAATAAATCCTCTCTGGGTCAAAATAGCCACAACACAACTTGAGGGTTAAAAGGAACTACACTATTAAAGTATATTATTATTTGTTATAACACTTATTAATTTTACAAATTTATTAGCCATTAATAGATTTAACACTTGCCTTCTTTATCAGTTTTTCTACATTTCCTGCAAATACAAGAGATCCCGACTGCAGCAACAATCAGCAGCGATCCAGCAGCAGCAGCAGCAGCAGCAGCAGCAGAGATCGGCACTGCTTTAGATGCTGAGTCTTTAACAATACAGAGAGACAGTCATCAGTGTGTTCAACTGATAAGTGAACATCAGAGTTAGTAGTATTTTGCTGCCTTACATTTAAATTAATTTTCAAAGTTTTTAGTTTATTCCAATTTCTACTGTGGCTTACAGTAAAATTACATTGAATGTGTTTTCATTTCAAGCTGAAAGGCAGCAAAGGGTGGTGATGTTCTATAGCTAGGCTTATAAATATGCACATATGTATATAATTAATCCAAACGATAGAGATGTTTGTTGAATTTTAAAAAAAGAAAGAAAGAAAAAGAAGGAGCATAGCTCAAGAATTGTCAAGAAATGTTGAACATGAAACCAGCTCGAGTCATTATAATCAACTAAAATCATAAACATACACATAGTAAATAAACACATCAGTGCTGCTGTACCTGAACATGTGAGACAGAGTTCACTGATGTCCAGATGTGTGGTCTGGTTGCTGATGGGATTGTTGAGCACACAGCTGTAGCTGTTTTTCTCCTGATATTCCACCTCCAGAGGTAGAGAGAGACTGATGCTGAGATCAGACACACTGATGCTGGACAATAAACTGTTTCCTTTGTACCAGGAGAGAGTCACATGACCCACATTCAACACTGAACACACCAATGAACAAAATGATGATGATGATGATGATGATGATGAAGAACAGTTTGAAGAGTTACTGCTGATGACAGGAATGGGCAGATGAGCTGAGAAATATTAGAAACATCGGAGTAAATCATGCTGTTTCTTGTGGTGTTAAGTAAGATTCTGTGATGTTGTTCAGTGAGTGTTTGTGATTTCAGATTTTTTTTTTTTATTACATGGTCTGAGATGCCAACCTTGGAATAATTAATCAAAAGAAAACTCTTTAATATGTTTAAAATTAAAGTAAAAATGAATGTGTATCTCAAATGTTGTCATTTTTAAGACTGAAAAGGCTGTATATACTGATATTTACAGTAACTCACCATAGACAGTGAGACTGAAATTTTTGCTCACACTGTTGGACTGTAGTTGATAGAGTCCAGCGTGTTCAGTTGTGATGTTTGTGATGATCAGAGATCCAGTTTGATCGTCCAGCTTCAGTCTGTCTCTGAATCTCTCATCAAGAACATCATCATATACAGTCATGCTGCCGGCCATTACATTGATTTCAGCTATTAAAGTGTTTTCAGATCCAAACCTCCACAGAATCAGATCATCATCCATCATTTCAGTGAAACCAGAGTTTAGAGGGACTGAATCTCCTACCGTCATTGACACTGACTTCACTGCATGAGCACCAAATTTACCTGTAGAAAAAAGGAAGATTTGTCAGAGATTAAAAGGTAAACAAATTCGTGGCGGTTAAGTAGTTTGTATATTTACATAAAAACACGTGTCCTTTGCAATAAGATATTCTGATTCCACACAAATAATCAACAATAAAACAATTTATGGGCAAAGAAGTTACTTTGAGAATGTAAAACTCTCATTACTTTACATATTTAATGGGATATTCACATGAATCCATTTTTATGGAGTTGGTGAGATCATATGAACAGGCTGACTAAACTTGTCCTTAATTTGATTTCCTTTGATGATAGACCTAAATCCAATAATATCCCTGCTCGATTTCAGAATATCTTTTTTAATGGATAGCAAATGCAAATCTATCTTATTATAATATAAAGCAAAGCTTGAACTAAATCAGCAACAACATTAAATTAAAAAGCATAAAACATACATTTCCAACTTACCTTCCAATTGCAACAAGCACAAGCAGAACAAAAGGACAACATGAACCATTTTCTTTGAGCATGCCGACATTATAATGAAAATCTCTAGAAGCAGGCTGTTTAGACAGAAGTGTGATATAAGTGTGTGTGTGTGTGTGGATCCTCCCCCAACAGGATTCGACCACCCTTCACTGACCACACACTAGGGTTTCACTTAAATTACAGCTAATACAGCATTTATTAAGACTCAGTGGCATAACACATTCTCCAACCCAGGCAGATGGTATATAATTATTGCAGCTTGTTATTTCAGCCTGCCATTATTCTTTGAGCCAGTGTCTCTCTGCGTGTATACCTATATATTACAGACCAGAACAAGAAGAATTAGTGTCATGGAATAAATGTATAACTTCACTTATAATGCTCAAGCTGTGTGGAATATGTTAGTGTCCATGGGTGATACGTAAGAATAATATTGTGTACCTTTGACTCTTTTTGGACTATTTCTCAAACATCAGTAAAGCTGTTTTGTTTTGTTTTTTTGTAAAAAGGAAGTCAGAATGTGAGGTTCATATTTAAAAGAAAGGAAATGAAGACACTTTTTACCCACAAACTACTGACACACGCATAAACTCGCATCCAATAGTACGCACAGGTTTTCCAGCCATCTGGTCAAACTACATTTCTCTGTAAATAAATGTGACCACAGAATGTTTCACTTTGACAAACAGAGCTGCTGTGGCATTAGGTGATTCGCGTTCATTCTCTTCGCCAGAAAAAAAAACTACTTTTTTTTGTGTAGAAAAAAAACTTTTTTTTTTCTTTTTTTTTTTTCTTGGCCTGTTTCATTTGAGTGTGTGAAAAAATATTGTCTGTGTTCGAATGCAACCACAGTGGTGGGCTGAAAATGTTTCTTATTTTGTCATTCTTATGTTTTCAGGATTTTACACATTCGGGCCTATTTACAAATCAGTTGTGAACATGTTTTGAACAATTTTCTCATGAAGCTGCACTGATATGCTATATAGCAACTACATAAAAATATATATATTAATTGAAAATGTGCAGCTTGCTTGTGTTAAAAGTTGCTTCGGACAAATTACGCACGTGCGTAAATGCATCACCCACATTCACAGGATAAAGTGAGGCTACTCCATGAATTGCATCGTGATTCAGTCCATTACAACAGTTTTCTTTCGGCGAGCTTCCCGTGAATCAGACAGCACTTCCGTTGTTATGTTTTAAGTCCACTTTACTATCTCTGGCAGCATGCACAAAGGACAGTTTGAACGAAACGAAACGAAACAAAACGAAACGTAACTTTGCATTGATCACGTGATTTTTGGAGAAACGACTTAAAATAAACAGTAGTTTATTTATTTATTTTTATGTGCATCAAGAGATCATGCAATGCATTTTAGTCCATCAAGGTTTAAGTGTCTGAGGCTGTAAACAAATATTTTCCACCTGAAATCTTCTATCTGTGATGTTTAGTTTAGTTTCTGTTTCCATTGCCATGGAGTTTCCATTCTTGCTGGTATGTTCGTTATTCCTTTGTTCCAGTGTCTACTGTATGTTTTCTGTTCACGTCCTCTGACTGGGAATAATTTGTTTCTATAAGTGTGTTTCAATATGAGTGTTCGACTTGAAACAGCGCTGCGCAGGTCGATCGTTGTATGACATCAAATTACCATGAGAGCTCTGGGGCCCTATCATACACCCGGCGCAAGGCGTTGCGCAAGTGTTTTTTGCTAATTTTGGCCCGACGCAGTTCTCATTTTCCCATCCTGCGGCGCATTGTTTAAATAGCAAATGCATTTGCGCCCATTTGTGCGCCCATGGTCGTGCTGGTCTAAAAAAGAGGTGTGTTCAGGTGCATTGTTGGCGCGGTGCTATTTTGAGGCAACTGAGAATAGACTGCGCATTAGACCAACTGAAACCTGGTCTAAAGTCTGGCGCAAAATTTTTTATTTGTTATTTAAAGAGCGCAATAGTAATATGTGGCTATAGGCGGGTGCACAACACGTCTACACTTTGCTTATTACACACACAGGGACGTGCAGCAGCACACAAATATTTTTAAAAATGAAAAATTACATTCTGCCATGTAAATAGCGAACCCGCCATGGCGCGAGCGCAACTGGCATTTAAAGGGGATGGGAGATGAGACTCTGATTGGTTTATTGCATGTTACGCCCAAAAAACACCATGCGCCTGGGCGCGCCGACCGTTTTACCATCGTTAAACTAGCAAAAGTTGATTCGGACATGCCCTGAGTGCACCAGCACCGTGCGCTTTAGACCATGTGCTTAGATCGTTAAAATAGGGCCAGACGGCTCCTACACCGATCGGTCTGCACAGCTCTGCTTCAAGGCGAACACACTCATCACGTGGTACAAGTAGGAGCTCTGAAGGTGCGTTCACGCCATATCATAATTACCGTGATTACGAGATACCAACTTGTAGAAAGCGTTCACGTCCTTGTAGAACTCGTAATGAACTGTGAACTGGGAGTTTTCTGAGAGCTACAACTTCTACCACCTGACCACCTTAGATTCTTTTGGCACTATGTTCAGGCATTGATACGCTTAGTCCGAGTCCAAGAGTGTGAACAGCTACAAGTAGAACATCATGTATTATCATCTCGATATTACATGGCGTTAATGCAACATCAGAAAAGTCCCATTTTTCAAGCTGGAATTACGAGCTCTGTGAGGACATGAACACTTTTTACATGTTGAAATATCAAAATTAAATAATTTCAACATGGCGTGAATGCATCTTTAGCTTCGCTTCTCCTCATTTTGCCTACCTGCCATGACACTTTCTACCAGATTTCCTATAATCCAACAAATTGCCATGGTGTTGAATTCCTTTTAAAATGCACACACTCACTTAAGTAATTATTGTTTGTTTTTGTCTCCAGGTGTGGTTGAATCGAACTTGGTGTCAGTGATGGAGGGAGTTTCTGTCACTCTAAAAAGTGATGTTACCAAGCAAGGACGTGACAAGATGCTGTGGTATTTTAACGACACTCTCATTGCCCTGATCAATGGAGATCCTACTAAGAGTTGTCTGTACGATGGTGAAGGCGGGGTATTCAGAGACCTACTGAAAGTGGACTTTGAGACCGGATCTCTGACCATCACAAACATCAGACCTGAACACACTGGACGCTTTGAAGCAAATTTCATCAAAAGCAAGAGCTCAGGAACCAGCCAAAGCTTGAACCGAAACGGCAAGTGTGACAGCACAAAAGTCATCAAAAAAATGATCAACATCGGCGACACAGTAAAGACATTCAGTGTGTCCATCAGTGGTGAGTCATATAGTGTTGATTCAGTCATTAGTGACGAGTCATTCAGTCATATGCCCTGCTGCAATTTACAAACAGTTACTATTGAACTCATTAATTGATTGAATGTGGACTATCTGAACACAATCAAACCGGTTCAATCTCTTTTCTTGAATATATAAAAACAACTTCAAAATACATTTAGAGTATTTTTCAGTAGACAACTTTTGTGAATAATTCAAAATTGTAATGATATTTAAACTATTATAATTGCTCCTTTAAGACCCTTTATCAAATATATTATTATAATTGATCACTTTGACTGTTAATATGTTGTTGTTGTTGTTTTTTTCCACAATGCAACCAATATTAGTAACAAAACACTGCAGGTTTTTCCTTTATTACTTTCCTTTTGTTTACTCACACTAATGACTGTCTGTCTTTCTCTTCAGGACTGTTTTTAAATCTTAAAGCAGCGATATGTGCTGGTGTTGGTGTTGTTCTGCTGCTGGCTGCAGCTGTTCTTGGTGTGATTTACTATCGTCACAGGAGCTCTAAAATGGGCAAGTATCACCTACAGCTACTATAGTGAGAGGAAAACAATCTTTTTAAAGCAAAATTAGTGTTTAATTGTCTGTGTGATTTTTTTTTTTTAACAGAAGACATTGAGAAGAACAAGTCTGAGCAGCTGTTGAATGTTCCAGTATGAGGTAAGATACTGTATTACTGTAGCATGTCTAAAATATACAGTATGGTGCTGTGATGAGTCAGTAGCTTGATGATCCATCTGCAGTTTATTAGACAAAAGCAGTACAAGGCAGGGCAGTAAACAGTAGTAGAACAAGATAACCAACAGTAGACGTAATCCAGAGAACAGGCAGAGAATTGGGGCAGGCGGCGAGCAAACACAGTAGATAAACAGGCTAAAGGGGTCGGGGCTGGCAGCAAGAATCAGAAAACGAGATAAACAGTCCAGGTCAACAAACAGGCAGGCAGAATAACAGAAACCGCTCCGAAATGATCACCAGGGCAAATCAAGACTTCGCACTGAAGAGCAGATAAGAGTGCCTTAAATAGGTGTGTGAGATAATTGAAGACATGTGCAGGGTGATCAGTTCCAGGTATGAAGGCTGATGGGAAATTGAGTCCGAATGAGGTGGTTAATACTCAGGTGAATGCTTCCTCTGGTGGTGCGAGAGACGTAGTGCGGGAGCCTCATTTGTAACAGGTGCCAATGGCATCTTAAAATCTTCACCAATTATACAATTATAAATATCCCTTTCCTCAGTGTGCCAGTAGGAGAAATAATTTCCAAAAATAATTTTTGCCATTAATCATAATATTTCCTCGATCACTGATGTGAAGTGATGATCACTATTTAATGTTTTAAACTCAATCTACGAAATATACTACTTCATTATAAAGAAAAACAATAATCGTCATAATCCAAAAAATACAGTATATACACTGACTATACTATATTTACTACACTGAAAAAATTTTCAACTTTTCTTTGAACTTTTTGAACACTAAAGGTTTAGATTTGATTTAATTATCATGCACTTGAGATTTTTTCTTTTGCTGCTGAATTATTTACTAACATAGTTATTTTCTATATTTACTATACTATATTTACTACACTGAAAAAAGTTTCATTCATCCAATTAAAAATATTTAGGGTAATGATTCACATTGCCCCTAAAGGGCAAGTTATTTATTTTTCATTGGCTCAAGTTAAAAAATATAGATGTGAATCATTACCCCATTTTTTTTTTATTGG